GTAGGCACCTCCAGAAGGACTTGCCAACAAACTCAATTAACTCCATGAAGAATGGGAATGCACACCTAGGAGGCACACAATGGGAGAAGATAGGAAACACATAACACCTTAATAAACAGATTAGAGCATGAGGATGCTTTGAGCTGATTATATAAACATCTTCTTAGAGTCCCTGAGTTTAGGAAGGAGGTGGGGGCTGAAGCAATCAATGCTGGTTTGGGCACAGAAACTCCAAATCTGTATCTTGGTTCTCCAGTTCTCAGAGTCTGTGTGTTTTGGGGAGACATAGACTTAATCCAAAGTAAACTACTCCAATGGTCCCCCCAGGCACACACCAAAGAATAGAGCCCCCTCAGATGTCAGGGCCATGGTAAGTAGTCAAAAGGGTCTGTCACATCACCTAACAAAAATAAAAATAAAAAAAAAATCTAGAACACAGAAAGAACATAGAGCTGCTATCACTCTCAGTGCAATCACTACACTTATAAATGGTTGTAAAGGCCACTAAACTCCCTTCATGTTAGCCTATGTGTGAATTCACACATAAAGTTTTAGAGGTGTTTAATGGTAGGAAAGTTAAAAAAATTGAGAAAAAACCCACTTCCGGGACATCCAGGAGCAGAAGCGTTTTGGCAGAAAAATATGCTTGACGTGCATTGAGCTTAGTGTTTGGGCGTTAATTTGTTTCAATGGCCAGAATAAATTACAAGGTGGTATCAAAATGTTTTGAGACTAGTTTTGTAACACACCAACAAATGGCAGCACAAGGCTGCACACACAGTCACAGGGAGCACCTACAGTTCCATCATAAGTCAGTATGCCAAAAAGACATCATCCTGTGTACATCGGGAGTTGTGAAAATTGCATTTAAATCACATAAATTGTCTATAAATAGCTGAATAGCACATAGTCAGAATAGCACCAGTTACACATCTCCCGATGTACACAGGACAATGTCTTTTGGCACAATGACTTATAAAGGTTAATGCTTGCTCTATAGGAGCAGCACATGAATGCTACCAGTCAGCAGCAAAAGGACTGCACTCCTCCCCTCATTCCCACTCCTCCCTTTGCATCTTGTCACCGACTACAGAAAGTTCTTATTCTTGCAGCCACAAGCAACATGGATGGATATCTTACATCAGTGTTTCTCAACCTTTTTTCAGTTAAGGCACCCTTTAAAATTATGGACAGTCCTGAGGCACCCTTTAAAATTAAGGACAGTCTGAAGGCACCCCATTCTAAAATGGGGTGGCTCCAGACAGAGGCGTCCCTAGGGTTGGTGTCACCCCGTGCAGTAACACATGGTGTCACCCCTCTAGAGAGGAAGGAGAGGTGCCAGTGTAGTGGTAAAATGAGTATCCCGGACCCATGAAGGTATGTATCCCCTGAAACAACTGCACATGTGCTGGTTTCAGACTGAAGAAGCCGATCTCCGACTTTAGCACAGAGTTGCCACAGTTAACCGCTTACAGGCTGCAAACCTCTGAAGCTGATCCCGCTCATTGCTATGGGTTGCAAGGTCAGTTAACCCCGTATAGATTGAAACTATACGGGGTTAACTGATCTTGCAACTCATGGTGATCCGCGGGATCAGCTTCAGCGGTTTGCAGCCTATAAGGGGTTAACTGTGGCAGCTCTGTGCTAAAGTCGGAGATTGGCGATCAGCTTCTTCGCCCTGAAACCGACACATGCGCAGTTGCTTCAGGGGATACATATCTTCACGGGTCCGGGATACTCATTTTACCGCTACACCGGGGGCAGCTGTCACTGTTCCAGGAATCCGGATCACCCCAATAACTGGCCAGGACCTTCACAGAACCTAGAAGCTCCTGCATCCCCTGTGATGGTGTCACCCAGTGCGGTCCGCACCCCCCGCACCCCCTTAGGGATGCCACTGCCATGGGGACAGCAGTGGGGTCAATGCACTCACAGAATTGTGGTCCAGAAAGCAACGGAAAAGACATTATATTTCCTTTACAACTTACTGGGTAAATTTTCTCACTGCTAGGAGGGATGCAGGATGCAGCACGACCCACATCCTGAAACCTGGTGATGTGACAGATCAGCAGCTTCTATCCCCCACTTCTCGATGGCCTTTTCTGGTGAATCATCGCCAAATGACCAGTACCCCCCCTAAGTGACCAAGCGGTTATGTATTTGCTAGGAAACCTTTATGCTCTCTCACTATGACAATACATCCAAGCAAAAAATGAGTACCTACTGCCCAGCAAATTGAATTTTCTGTCTTCAGTCTTAGAAAAAAAGACACTTTTCCAGATGACATCTGCTTTAACTCTCCCTTAGAAAATCCATCCTAGCAAAAAAGGGAGTACACTCTGTCCAGCAAGTCTGTCATTTTTTTTAACCTCCATATATAAAATATGCCTCTATCTCTTTTTGAAAGAGCAACTTATCATAAATAATTAAAAGTTGTGTGTTGCAAATCTACATAGGTTTTCTGTCTTCAGTCTCAGAAAAAAAAAGACACAGTAATTTTTTTTTAAATTTATACATTAAGTCTGCTTGATCTCTCCCTCTGAAATTGCATCCTAGCAAAAAGGAGTATATACTGTCCATGGCCAAAAAAAATGTCAAATTTTCCTATCTACTGTCTCAGAAAAAAAAAGACACTGTTTTTTTTTCTTTCAAATTAAATATGCCTTCTCTCTTTCTTTAAAGTTATGGTCCTATCAAAAAGCCTGTGCTGCAAATGTGCATTGTTTCTGCCTTTAGTCTCAGAAAAAGACATATTCTTCTGATGTATTGTAGCTGTCTATGAACACAATTAAAGCTGTGCTGAAAATCTGTTCAGGGAGGAAACTGGATCACCTAGAGGAAAGCCATGCAGGCACAGGGAGAATATGCAAACTCCAGGAAGATGGTGCCATGGTTGGAATTAGAACCAATGACCCCACTACTGCCAGGTGGAAGTGCTAACCATTTCCCCCCGCTTCACATATATGCGGCCGTGCGGGTCACTTTTTGCATGGGAACGAGAGCCCATTCATTTGAATGGACTGCCGTGCCCATGACAAGCAGGGAATAAGTCCCTGCACTTCTTTGGAAAACGTAGCCCGCATGGGATCCTCGGTTCCCAGTATGGTTACGTTTTCCAGTGCGGGTGGTGCGCCATTAGAACTAATGGCACCTGCCCTCAGGTCGCATTTCTCTGTACGGGTGGTGCAGCTGTACAGATTTTCATGCGGATCCACAGCGGCACCACCCGCACAGATGTGAACCTAGGGTTAGCCACTGTGCTGCCCCTCCTTCTCAATGTACAATGTATGGTGTACAACATTTAATTTGTATTACATTTTGTACACCATACAGTGCGGTACTGAAAAGAATATCACGCCTTATGTTATGAAAGTAGTTTTTCCACAGTTTTGTAGTTGGCAAGAAGTTGATGGCTTTAGCTCTTTTTTATAAGTATATATCCATTGATAGATTTTAGATCTATTTTCTCTGATCCTTCCACCACTCAATTCTGGCCTATTAAAGCCGCACAAAAAAATCTGTTGTCTTGGCAAAAAATACCTAATACAGAATTTATTTACTGCAAACCAATCATATTGCATTGCTGCCGCTGTAAGTAAGCCAATGAATAATTTAAAAGTAAACAAAATGATTAAACATGCAATTTATGTTTTGCCAGAATAGGGTGCCACCGACAGGGCTGCCGTTAGAAACCACGAGCCCCATACAGCCAACCTGACAGGTCCCCTCTCCCCCCACCCCCCAAAAAAAAAAAAAAGTTTACTATGCTTCAGTTATGAATGAACACAGTGAGTGATTTGTACTGATCACTCACTGTGTTCATTTAGGTAAGGAAGGGGCTGGTAAATGTGACATATTTAATGGTCCCCTCCCCCCACTTTCCATCCTGAAGGATCCTGTTGCGTGCTTGCTGCTGCCAATGGGAAGGAGAGGAGGGAAGTCAGCAGCACTGCAGGGGTTGTGGCACACAGGGGGGCCTGGGCAGCAGGGGGAAATGTATGGTGCAAAGGGAAGGTGATGGGGGGGGGCAATAACTGGAATCGATCCCGTGTATTGCTCTCTCTGCAGCCACTGAAAATCAGCAGGAGGGAGAGGAGAAGAAGCCAGCTTTCAGCTGCTGCAGAGAGAGCCATACAGGGGATCAGTTCCAGTAATTGTACCCCCCCCCGCAGTGCCTGGGACCCCCTGCTGTTCCTGGTCCCCGTACAGGAGGACTGGTGGTACCCTCTTATCCATGGCCCTGGTCACGAATGCAGACACATCCGTGGGGAGGATTTATTGAGTGTCCTATAATCCCCCTACAGCAACATCAGAGCCAGTCTGACATTGTGAACATGCTTGAAGGAGTGGGGTGAAGGAATGACCACATCTGTATGCTACATTCCCTTCATTGTCCAATAAGCTGGCTGGGGGGGGGGGGGGGGGAGCTGCCTAAGCACGTAAAAGTTTAAGATATAAATTAGACATTTATCCAGATGAGTGAGTACTATTATCATGATTCCAGGTAAAGAAGGCCATTCAGTTATGCAGGATTTTGCAGCAGTAAAGCTATGATAAGATGGATATTTACAGCAAATAGCTGAGAGATCCTGAGATTAGGATATCTACTCAGATTTATTCTTTATATTGGATTGCTACCCGGGAGGTCTAAATATTTAAGGAAATAGTCTACATAGAATTAAAGGTTAATCCTGCTTTATTCTGACAAGCTTCATATTGTTGGATTTCATATGTATCTGTTTTATCTATTAAATAGGTTTATAATTTCTTTAATTTTATATGCTTCAAATCCCTGACAAAGGAACATTCTCAATATATCCAATATCAGTTTTATCAAATTTTTTGCTTCCATGTTCTTTACTTTAAACGTGATGATTTTATATAAACCAAACATATTCCTTGATCACAGTTTTGAAAATTTTAAGATGCTCACTGGAAACCAAAGCACTGTCTCAGAATTTATTCTTCTTGGATTGTCTGTGGATCCTTTTGTACAAACGATGCTGTTTTTCATTTTCCTGGCAATCTACATGACCACACTGTGCGTGAATGTACTTCTGATAGTTGCTGTGAGGACCGACAAACGTTTGCACACCTCAATGTACACCTTCTTGTCTAGTTTGGCTTTCTTAGAGATCTTCTACACTTCCACTGTTGTACCCAAGATGCTGTCTAACTTTCTTTCTCTAAAAAAGAGTATTTCATTTGCTGGCTGTGTTACACAGTTTTTCTTTTTTCTGTTTTTGGGAGAAACAGAATGCATCCTTCTGACCCTGATGTCCTATGACCGTTATGTTGCCATCTGCAACCCTCTACACTACAATATGATCATGAACACAATGGTTTGTATGCAGATGATCAGCATGGCATGGTTGACTGGCTGCATAATTTCATCTATTGATACATATTTTACATTTAGCTTAACATATTGTGGCCCCAACACCATCAACCATTTTTTCTGTGAGACTCCTTCACTGATGGAGCTTTCTTGCAGTGATGTCTCATCAGTCGAAATCTTAAAATGGTTGGCTCGACCATCTTTCTTTTTATCCCACTTTCACTAATTATCATCTCTTACCTTCGAATCATAATCACTATCACAACAATTCACTTGGGAAAGAACAAAGCATTTTCAACATGTGTTTCCCACCTTATGGTGGTGGTCATTTATTATGGGACATGCATATTCATGTACATTACACCTGAGAATTCAGTCCCAAAGAATGTAAAAAAAATGGTGGCTGTATTTTACACAATGATAACTCCCATGCTAAACCCTTTAATCTATAGCCTAAGAAATAAAGATGTTCATAGAGCCATGAGAAAGCTATTAGGAGTGTAACATGTTATAACCCAAGGAGAGAAGATCAATTTGATTGAGAGACATGGAATTTGCAGATATCAGTTTGTTTTTGTTTGTTTGTTTGTTTTGTCAGTTTGTCTTTATAAAATTTTAATTTGTCTAAAAATCTCAGAAAAACATGCATTGGACACCTAAGCATTTTATACATGTAAACCAGTGACCCAAAAACATGAAATATGATGTTTTTCTATGTATAACCAAATACATTTCTGAACACCATAGAATTGGATCTTACTTTGCAAAACCGTATGTTATTGAGACTTTCTCTTTTACTTCTTTGAGGACTGATGGGAGATCACTTGGGCACCACATACCTAATTAACAGATTATCAATGTATCTCTACCCCCCCTCGAGAGCTGCTGTGGTTGCTATGGGTGACGGTATAGAGATCAGCATTTCCCACTGATATTAGCAGGATCTGAAGCAGGACAATCACTAATCTCAGCCACTGTTGGGACAACTGGATGACTCTTGCAGTCCACATGATTACAGCAGTCCACTGTGGTTGGTACAGACAACTGCCAGGCAGTTTTGCACAAGGAAATCCCAGATGAGAAACTTCACATGTAGCGCTTCCCCCTTGAGCGCTATATTGGGATGTTGTACCAAGCTTTTTCCAAACAGATTAGGAGCAACTCTAAAACAATTCTAGTGGTAAGGACAAAACAATCTTCAAACTAAATTCTGTATTGATCTTGGACTTTCTACTCCCTTTGCAGTGGCATCAGTATCTTGACGGATCAGTAACACAGTTTCTGTAAGGTGCACTTGATCCTCTCTTTATATGAACCTCTGCAGACCCCAGCTAAAATTGCCCATCCTCCTGGCTATCTTTAAGAGTATGCCAGAGCAAGACATTCTAGAAAAGACTTGCAGCATTGTCCCAGAAGGACTGGTTGGGTATGGCACATAGCAGCTCTCTCCCTTGTAGGCCCTGAGGGTGTAAAGATACTCACACTGTCCTTGTGTCCTGTAGCTTTGGATAAAATGCTTCCAGGCCTTTAGCTGAGCTATTTTCTTTGCAAGCTAGCAGGCTGTCTTTCCTCAGTATACTGCAGGGCAGTGAAGCTCCCTCTGTCAACTTCCTTCTCCCATTCTTCCAACCTCCAGTCTGGGGGCCCAGTCTGGAGGCAAAACCCCCCTCTTCTCCAGGAGGTAGGAGGCAGTCTCAGATCCCGACCTAGAAGTAGCTTACCTGTCACTTTCCGTGGGGGCAGAGTGAGTCGGTTGACGGATTCGGACACAGTGTTGGTGATTGAGCCGGTGGGCAGTGGGAAGGTTAGAGGCATATCATCCATGGGTGGGGGTGTTCATCGAACACACCCTGCACACATCCCATACCCCCCTTCCATTCCCTATTCCTTACCTTCATTCCTTTCCTCTATCCCCTTCATGTTTTCCTTCCCTCCCTCCTTTCCTTCAATCTTTCCTTCTTCTTTCCCCCATTCTTTCCCCCTTCCTTCAATCCTTCCTTTCTTTCCCTTCCTCCCTCCCTTCATTCTTTCTTTCCTCCTTTCTTTCCTTCCTTTCTTTTTTCATTTCCTTTAACCCTCCTCTCCTTCCTTTCCTCCTCTTTCCTTCATTCTTTCTTCCATCCATTTCCTTTTTCTCCTCTTTTTCCATCCATCTCCATACATCCCTTTTTCCTCATTCCCTTTTTCTTTCTCTTTCCTTTCCTTCCTTCCTTCCTTCCTTCCTTCCCTCTCCCCTTTCTTCATCCCTTCCTTTCTTCCTCATTCCCTCTCCTCTTTTTCCTTCCTCTTCCTTCCTTTTTCCTTCCCTTCTTTTCTTCTCTTCCTTCCTTCCTTCCTTCCTTCCTTCCTTCCTTCCTTTCCTTCCTCCCCTCTTTTTTTCCTCTTCCTTCCTTCTTTCCATCCTTTTCCTCCTTCCCTTTTCTTTTCTTTTCCCTTAATTCCTTCTTTTATTTCCCTTCCCCCCCTTCTTTTTTCCCTCCCTTCTCCTCATCTTTCTTTCCTTCTTTTTCCTCTTCCTCCCTCCCTTCTTTTTTGCTTCCTTCATCCAATCCCTTCATTCTTTCTCCCTCCACCTTTCATTCATCCTTCCTTCCTTTCCTTCCTTTTTTCTCCTCCTTTCTTTCCTTCTTCATTCCTATCATTCCTTCCTTCCTTCCTCTTCCCTTTCCCTTCCTTCCTTTCCTTCCTTCCTTCCTTTTCCTTCCTTTTTTCCTTCCTCCTCTCTTCCTTCCTCCATTCCCTTCTTTTCCTTCTTTTTCTTCCTTAATCCTTTCCTTCTTTATCCTCTTCCTTTTTCCTTCCTTCCCCATCCTTCCTTCCTTTCTTCCTTCCTTCCTTCCTTCTTTTTTCCTTCCTTCCTTCCTTCCTTCCTTTCTCTCCTCCTTCCTTCTTCTTCCCTCCTTTTCCTTTCCTCCCTTTCCTTCCTTCCTTCCTCCCTCCTTCCTTTTCTTTCCTTCCTTTTTTCCTTCCTTTCTCCTTCTCTCTCTTTCTCCTTTCTTTCTTCTCTTCACTTCCTTCCTCTCCTCTTCTCTCTCCTTCCTTCTTCCTTCATTCCTCCATTCTTCCATTCCTTTTTCTTTCTTTCCTTTTTTCCATTTCCTTCTTTCCTTCTCCTTCTCTCCTCCCTCTCTTTCTTCTTTCTCTCCCTTCCTTCTTTTTCCTTTCCTTTCTTCTCTTTTCCTTTCCTTCCCCTTTCTTCTTCTTCTTCCTTCTTCCTTCCTTCTTTATTTCCCTCCCCTTCTTCATTCCTTCCTCCATTTTCTTTTTCCTCCCTTTTTTTCTTACCTTACTTTCTTCTTCTATCTTTCCCCCTTCTTTCCTTCCTTCCTTTCCTCCTCTTCCTTCATCTCTTCCTTCCCTTTCTCTCTCTTTCCTTTTCTCCCTCCCTTCTTTTTTTCTTCCTTCTTCCTTTTTCCCTTTCATCTTTTTTCCTCCCTCTCTCCCCTCCCATCCTCCTTCCTTCCTTCCTTCCTTCTTCCTTTCCCTCTCTTTTCCCTTTTCCTCTCTTTCTTTCCTTCTCTCTTCCTCCTCTTCTCCTTTCCTTCCCCTTCCCTTTCCTTTCTCTTTCTTTCCTTCCTCCTTCTCTTTCTTTTTCCTTCCTTCCTTTTCTCCTTCTTTCCTTCTTTCTTCTTTTTTCTTCCTTCCTCTTTCTTCCTTCTCCTTTTCCTCTTCCTCTCTTCATTCCTTTCCTTTTTCCTCCCTCCCTTTTCTTCTTCTTCCTTCTTCTTCCTTTTCCCCCCCCCCTTCTCTTTTACCTTCTCCCTTCCTTCTTTTTTTCTTCTTCTCCCTTCTTCCTCTTCTTCCTTCTCCTCCCTCCTTCCATTCTTTCCTTCTTTTTTCTTTTCTCTTTCCTTTCCCTTCCTTCTCTTCTTCTTTCTTCTTCCTCCTTTCTTTCTTCCTTTTTTCCTTTCTTCCTTCCTTCTTCTCTTCCTTCTCCTTCCTTTTTTTTCTTTCTTTTTTCCTTCCTTCCTTCCTCTTCTTCTTTTTTTTTCCCTTCTTCCTTCCCTTTCTTCCTTCCCCATCCTTCTCTTTCTTTCCTCCTTTCCTTCTCTCCTTTTTTTCTTCCTTCTTCCTTTTTTTTTCTCTTTTTCCTTTCCTCTTTCCTCCTTCCTTTTTTTCTTCTTTCTCTTCCTTTTTTTTTCCTTTTTCCTTCTTTTTTTTCTTCTTTCTCCTTCTTCTTTTTTTCCTTTTTTCTCTTCTTCCTTCTCTTCTTCCTTCCTTTTCTCTCTTCCTTTCTTTCTTTCCTTCCTCTTCTTTTTCCTTTCCTTCCTTCTTCCTTTCCTTCTTTTCCTTCTTCTTCTCTTTTTTTCCTTCCTTCTTCTTTTTTCTTTTCCTTTTTTCTTTTCTTCCCTCTTTTTTTTCCTTTCTTCCTTTCTTCCTTCCTTCCTTCTTTTCTTCTTTTTCTTCTTTCTTTTCTCTTTCTTTTTTCCTTCTTCTTTCCTTTCTTTTTCCTTCCTTCTCTTTCCTCTTCTTTCTTTCCTTCCTTTCCTCTTTTCTTCTTTCCTCTTTTTCTTCCTTCCTTTCTTCTTTCTTCTTTCTTCCTTCCTCTTTTTTCCTTCTTTCCCTCCTTTTTCTCTTTTTTTCTTTTCTTTTTTTTCTTTTCCTTTTTTCCTTTCTCCCTCTTTCTCTTCTCTTTTTTTCTTTCTTCCTTTTCCTTTTCTCTCCTTCCTTCCTTTCTTCATTTTTTTTTTCACCTTTTCTTCCTTCTTTTTTTTTTTTTTCCTTTTCCTCTCCTTCCCCTTCCTTTCTTTCTTCCCTCCTTTTTTCCTTCCTCTCCATTCCTTTTCTTTCCTTTTTTCCTTTTTCCTTTCTTCCCTTCCTTTTTCCCATCCCTTTCTTTTCTCTCCTTCCTTTTTCTCTTCCCCTTCCCTTCTTCCTCCTTCCTTTTTTCTTTCTCCTTCCTTCCTTCTTCCTTCCTTTCTTCCATTCTTCTTTCTTTTCTTTTTCTTCTCTTTTTTTCTCCCTCTTCCTTCTTTCTCCTTTTTTTCTCTTCTCTTCTTTCTCTCTTTTCCTCCTCCTTCCCCCCCTTCTTTTTTTCCTTTTTTCTTCTTTCCCTTTTCTTTCTTCTTTCCTTTCATCCCCTTTTTTCTTTTCTCTCCTTTTTCTTTCCTCCTCCTTCCCTTTCCTTTCCTTTTTTCTCTTCCTCTCCTTCTTCCTTTTTCCTTCCTTCTCTTTCTCCTTCCACCTTTTCCTTCCTTTTTTTTCCCTCCTTCTTTTCCTTCTTCT